TACAGTTTGCGGAGGTTAGATACTTCCGCTATTTGCTGTCACGGCGGTTGAGCAGGCCCCCGTAGTAAGCATCGCCACTATTAATTTGTGGCAGATAAATACGAGGGTTTTCCGAACTGCCGTGATAGCAAATAGCGGAGGTTTCTAACCTCCGCAAATTACAATTTTAACCTTCGCAATTTCATGCTCGAAAATAAATAAATAAATATATATATATATATATATATATATATATTAGTGTAAGGGTTGTAAACCCCCGCAAATTCTTATGTGTACACCATCAGAATCTGTTCAATTTCTCTTTGGGGGTTTTATCCCCATCTATTTTTAAATATATTATAGAATTAATTTTTTATCATCAATTTGCCATACTTTTTCCTTAATATCAATTGATATTATGCTTAAACCAAAATATTAAAATTAAGAGACATCAACATTTCATTAACCGTGAAAAATACTATGACAGAGTAGTATCATATGTCATCAAGCTAACTTAGAACATAGTTAACCGTCTATATTAGTCAGCTATTACGTTATCCTAATACATCCACTTCGATTAAAATGAATCTCAATAGCTGTCACTGGGATTACTAGCGCCAAAAGATCTTCTTGCATCCATAGGTGAAATGGGTCCACTAGCTCATCACTTAACTGCAGCAAAAAGTAAAAAAAAAAATACAACTATTAAGAGGAGTATCGGGAAACAAGTTATTGAGATAAAATATATGTTGTCTACTTAAACCAACAAAAAAGAATAAAACATGACAAGGTACGAAGCCTCTAGTCTAAAAGGTAGACGGTATGCAACACGAATACAAAAAAAATAAAGCATTTGTTTAATAAGTGATACAACACTACTGTGCCACAGAACCAAGAAGCAGTAATACAACACTGCTGCTACCACCCACTACTTAGAAAACAGAATGAATGACATTGATTTCAAATTCATTCAGAGCATTCTCTCAGTATCTATACTGACAAGTAAGTATTACTCAATAGGCAATTTTCTCACCATGTGATAGAACATGCAATTAATGGGAGAGGAACTTTGTGGTTTGGGTGTAAAAGACCTAACAAATCTGGAGAATCAATTGGAAATGAGCTTAAGGGGCATCCGTATGAAAAAGGTCAGCAACCAACTTGATACTATCTAATTAATATTATTGGAACTGTAAAATACTAGTAGGAACTAAACATGTTTTGACTTTATAGGAGAAAATATTAAAGGATGAAATTCAAGAACTAACTCAAAAGGTATGTGCAAAACTGTACCAGCTTTCATCATGTCAAGAATAGAACTAATGCACATCAAAAGGCTAAAAAAAATCTAGTAACTGGAATTAACAATTGACTGTAATGCAACTATCTTTTATCTGTTAAAATTCATGTTATAAACAGGAACTGAATCAAAGGCTCATATACATTGATCCAATGCAATAGAAACTAAAACCGCAAATCTTGTAAAGATTGTTGAAAACAACGGAGCCGGCGTGCCATGCTAATATTCCAGATATGTAACTTTCAATGCAGTAAAATTTTCCATGTCAAAACTTCTTTTACTTTTCCCCTTCTTCAGTAAACATGCAGAAGAAAGGTTTCCAACCAAACAAATGATCCCTTTTCTTAACAAATAATTTGGCACAAAGAGGATGCCCATTAACAGAAACAATCATGAATGTAACTTACACATATTTCTTTTGCCTCCTTATTTACATATGATCCATCTTTTTTCGTATGTATAGCGAGATAAAGTTATGCTCGTCCAGGCTTTCTCCCTGTCTCAGCCATCTATGTATGAAAACAAAAATAAGTCAGGATAGTTTAATTAAAGAAAAATAAATAGATATAATATCTAAAATTTAAATAGTAAAGTAAGGTAAATAATGTGACATCTTTTACCATTTCAGCCCTTCTTCTAGAATTAGGTTTGGAGCCACCGGTGTGTGGAACTATTTATTTTTTCCGATTTTCAGCATTTCTTTTACACGTGTTCTAACAATAAGATACATTTCATTCAATTATATAAATGAATAATCATATTTTTATGCATTTCAATGTGACGTTTCAGAAAAATACCTGAGTTTCTTCTTTATAATGGTAATTCACAAAGGAAGTCCATTGATCCCGAGTAATACCTACCGGAACATTATCCATAATCTCATCTTTGGTTTTAAGTGGGTCTTTAAACTCATATCACAATTTCTGCCTACTTGCAGTCCACTTCTTTGCAATAGAGCGATAAACATATTCCCGTACAACTTCCTCAATGGTCATAAAACAGAAATGAGGCTTCAAAAATAAATTTTAGTTAGTTTATCTTTTATATACAAATATAAAAACAAAAGACAAAATAGAGATATAGTTATAAAGTTATAGAGTTTATACCTTTATAATGTTAGTAAAGCAGTCGTTAAAGTATGACTTAGGCATATCCGACCATTTATCAAAGCTAAGAAAATATGGTACAGTCAGTTGCTAAAAGGCCACATACGCCTACAAGAAGGCCTTGTGCGTCGCCAATCGGATCCAAGCAATCAAACTCCAGCACAACACGTTCTTGCTGAGGTAAACTTAATGCTTCTCTAGTCTTCAATTTGAGCCTTTTGGTATCTCCATGTGAATCTTTAATAAATACAAATAAAAGCAAAAAAATGAAGGTAAGAGATATAGTATAGAGAGGTCTCAATAATTCATTATATTGAAAGATACTATTACTGTGAAACTAAGAACAACTTGACCATATGAAACAAGCGATTTAAGAATATAAAAATTACATCATAGAATATAAAAAAACAGACTTTTACTGATAATTGTCATATGAACAAGCAGTTCAAGAATATAAGAAGATGAAGGCAGTATCTTCAAGTTCGAATATAAACAACTTGCATAAAGTCCGCGACTTTAAGTGAAAATTATCATTTATGTAAACCCAAAATTGTAATCTATCCAAGAATTTAAGTGAAAATTGTAATCTATCCAAGACTTGTTGAACTAGTTCTGCTTGTGATATTTCTCTGTACGCACTTGGTTGTTTTTGGAGTTACCCTTGTAGGCATGGTAGGTTTGATGGTACTTGTTGGAACTGATAATGCATGAAAATAGTAACAACTAACAACAAACAATGACATCTATGATCAACTAGAGTACAATGCTGAAATTGTTGCAGATCTAAATATGAAATTGCATTGTCAATTTATAGTATTAATTTTTTTTTGGAGAGTGGACTACTGAAAAATGTGACCAGGATAAAGGATTATGATGTTTGCTGTGGTGGGGTCATGGCAAGCCAATGCGTTTTTCGATTTCATGGTACCTTGGGACATTTGGTTGACCTATAGACTCATGCCTGCTTGAATAAACTTAAGTTTGACAATAGACACATAGGAGCTCTCATAATGCTGGTTGAGTTTTTGTCTTGTGATTATTAACTGCTACATCCATGGATTTGCAAAGAAGAAAAGATAAAAATATTTGAATACTCGGTGTGAAATGAGATATTGGGAAGGTCATATAATATTATGCAGTTAGAGATGCTTAACGAAACCTTTCATAGCGTTACTGTTCTAACAAAAGAAGAACAACTACTGAAGAAAAAGGGGGCTTCTTAGATGGACCAGCTATGCAATTTTCAACTTTCTAGATTGCTATGCTTCCAATCCCTAAATAAAATTTCAATGGCGATGTCGACCTCTCTCTTCAACGACCAAAAACAAATGCGTGAATTCCATGACACTCCAGCACACAAATTGTTCAAAGTCTTCCAAACAAGTTTAGCTAAGTTTTACCATTATAAACATTTATGTAGAAATTTTTAAAAAAAGAAAAGTACTTGTTCGAAGATGGCCGGAAAAAAATGAGTTTGAATTAATGGCTAGAATAATGGCTGAGAATGGACAAAAATGACAAAACCCTTTCAAGTTGAGTTTTGTACCAAAATATACTAATAAGAAAAGGAAAATGAGAGAGGCAGTGGAATTGGAATTTTAAGTTTGTCCAAGGTCAGAGTCACAACAACAAATATACAATGCAGAGGAAACGAGACAAAGAAAAATTCATACTGATAGAACATTAAGGCCTACAAAAAAATAAAAGCACACAAAAATTCCCGCAGAGAGATCGACCATTAAACCCAAAAGCACAAAGAAAGCAAGGAAAAAGCACACAAAGATTCATACAGATTGACCATTTAATACACACAAAAATTCAAAATTAACAGAAAATCCATGAAGGGAAATAAGGAAAGAAAGAGAAAAATCAAACCTGGGAGGTGTAAAAGCGGCGGCGATTGAAGAGGAAAAGAGAAGTTAGTAGAAGAAGAAGAAGAAGAAGAAGAAGAAGAAGAAGAAGAAGAAGCGGAGAACTTCGATTAATGGAGGTGTAAAACCATTAAGCGGATAACTTCGATTAAGAAGAAGAAGGAAAGGAGTATTTTGTTGTTGTGAGGCGGAAGTTTTTAGGGCGAAAAAGATTGGGAAAAAAATGGAGGATTTTGAAATAAATGACCCGCTATTATTTTAGGGTTGCGGATGTTTTAGACCCGAAAATTATATAATTTTGTGGGGCTAATATATTGCGAAAAATTATGCAAATTGCGGAGGTTATTTATGTCCGCAATCTACCCATTTTTTTGTAATGTGTAGATTATCAAAAGAGATTAGTACATGGAGAAGACATATATCATAAGCTCCAAACTACAATGAAGAGTGATATTAATCACAGTACTTATGATCATCTGAAAGTAATAAATATTTTCTATTTTGGGAGATTAACTCCATTACATTCTAATTATAATAAGCTTCACAAAAGGATGCTATACGTACCGTTACCATCACAATACATTAGTCAGAACTATCTATTGTTAGCATTATTAAAAACAAAATGGTTCTTCCTTGATTTTATTCCGAAATTTGGGATGCCTACTTTATCCAATCTCGCTATTTACTTCAATGTTTTTGGTCTTAGTTGGTTAGCGTATTGGTATAAAGTACAGAGTTCAAATAGTCGTGACTTCTTTTAATAAAAAATATTTTCTACAAATATTTCTTATCACACTAAACACACTGCATCATGTTCTCGGGAAAATGTGTGACGATTTTATTTCTTTTTTATTTAAAAATTTAATTTTTTATTTTCAACCTTTAAGGGTGCTTACATTATGAGTAGCGGGGGAAGAAGAAGGTTAAAAGAAAAAGGAAAACATTTGATGGATTGAATTCTCACCTAACTAAGTGGTACAGAAACAGAAGTGTAACTATTAAACTGTAGTTCTAATTCCAAAAATGAATAGTCTGGTCTTAGTTCATGTTAACTATCCATTTACTTTAGAAGAAGAGTTAAAGTGGCCACATATATTTGTCTTTAATATTTCCTCTCATTTTTAAATGAAGTGTTATTGTCATTATTATTTGAATGAATGTTATTGTCGTTACTCCAACAAAAATCTCACCACATCAAATTCCGCCAGTAATTAAACAAACAATGAAGAAATCCACTAGACTAGTTTTGCACGGACATCATTTTGCTTAGTTACCTTATTATACACATAAAGTAATAATCAAAAAATTCGTTTTAATCATGGTTATGAAAGCTACTCGAGCTTTTATAAGTACTTATACATAAGGAGAAGTTATATCATACTTAGCTAAACTTTCTTAACTTTATTTTGTTTTGCATGTCTTAAATTAACAAAACAAAGAAAGGGAAAAAAAATGAGCAAATCGTTCGTAGCTCATACTTTTATCATCGATTAGAACCTATTTTAGAAACTTTTCATTTTTAATAGATGTAATTACTGAATCATACTACTAACACATATATACTAGTATAAGACATCTATATTTAACTTGTAATATGTAATTTGGCAAAACTCTTGTATTAATTTGATTTTGATTGAAATACCAAATGTGTAAGAGAGAGAGAGAAAAACATTTCTAATCAGGATTATTGAAATAGAGTTATACGTAAGTACAAACTCATGCACGTAACTATGTATGTCCAACAATAGGAATGCCAAATGATTGATTTTAAAATATATTTATTAAGAGGATAATAACAGACTTCTCATTCATTTGTGGTTATGAAAAGTAACATTCACTTACTCACGAGACAATTTTAACATCAAGGAAGAAGATAGAGATTTAGTTGTAAAATTGCATTGGTATTAAGGGGCGGATCCACATATATTTTTGTATTGGCAGACATTGGTCAATTATTTGTCAATATTTTGTTAAGCAACCACCAATAAAGAAACATCATGGGTAGTTTGGTTTTTGAGTTTGCAGAAAGTTCGGTCGAGCTAAAATGTTCCGAGATCGAATCTGTCCACGTACATTTATTTTCATTTCAACTCATGTTTTTTCTTCTCTACCTTTTACCGTGAATTGCTTGCCTCTTTTTTTATTTTCTTCTTCCAAGAATTGCTTTCCTTTTTATTCTCTTTGCCATTTTATTCTTTGCTTTCTTCTTTTCTACCTTTTTATTCTTTGCGTTCGGATTGCATATGAAAATTTCAGTTTGGATTTTCGATTTTCGGATTGAAGAAATGAGAATCCAAATCCAATTCAAATAAGTTCGGATTGGATCGGATATTTTAGTTCGATTTCGGATTAATCGGTTTGGATATTTTGGATTAATCGATTTCGAATATATTGGATTTTCGATTTTCTGACGAAAGAAATGACAATCCAAATCCAACCTCAAGGTTCATTTCCATTTCATGGACCTGCTATCTTCCTATATTGCTTTATTTCTCAATTTGCTCTTCCTTTTTTTACTTCTTTTCTTCCTCTAGTTGCTTTCAACAATTTGACTTTTTCCTCGAAATAATTTTCCTTTCTCTTTTCGTTTTCTCAATATGACCTTTGTGACTGAAGTCAATTTGATATAGTTTAAATTAACTTTTGAAAATTTTATTTTTGTTCATTTGTGTAAAAAAGTTAAACTTTTCAATTCACATCGACCTAGACCTACGGGCGGATGCAATGTGGTAGATGCGGGTTCAATTGAACCCATAACTTTCGACATAAAGTAAAAATTTATGTGTAAAATTTATTAAAATTGCAAAAATAATGGATATGAACCCATAACTTTAAAAATATAATGGGTTCAATGTTAAAAATCTTAAAAGTTGAACCCATAGAGTTTAAATCCTGGATCCGTCTCTGCCTAGACCAATGGTGCACTGAATTTGATGTTTGAAATTTAGTGTAACTAATAATGCTATTATTCATCATTTTCAAACTATGAAAAGACCGAATACAAATGTGAATATACTAATCTTTTGATGATAATGTCATATATATATACTTGTTTAAATATTTTACCATCAAGTTTCAAATTAATGGTTGTGCAATTATAATTTGCGGTTGTAGTAAGTCTCAGTTATAGGTAACTGAACATCTACTACTTTGAAATTCTGAATTCGCCGCCGACATTAACGTTATCAATTCTCATACATAAAGAAACAATTAATTATTGTCATTATTAATATTAGTGGCTTTTGGTGACATGGCATTTAGGCCACTGATAATTCACTCATATATATGAGATAGAACAAGCAATTATCAAACAATAAATGAGAATTGTCATTTTCTATATATACCTACCCAAAGTATGAGAGGCCAAAATGAGAAGAGGTCCCTCCCTTCCAGTCTGCAACCAGTTTTCATCATATATGCTTTAATTACCAAAAGTTGGTTTTCTCTCTCTTTTTGTACTATGATTGACAGTCCCTTTCTCTTGGATTTTTGGTCGACTATAGTTTTTTTTTAAAAACTTTTATTAAAAAAAACAGCAAAACCGTTGTATATGAAGAAATTTTCTATGCGCACTCATTATTTGAAGTCATCATGGTAGAAGATTTTTCTTAACAGTTTTGTTTGTTATTCTCTTGTTTTTACGTTTTTGCCTAGCACACCTTTCGAAAGTTAGCAAATTTTTTTTGGCAAACTTAATTTATAGCCATCCGAAAAAAATTAATGATAATATATAGCCACAAAATAAACCATACAATTAACAGCCCAAAACTAATTAAAGGGCTAGCCCAAGACCACTACCACTCTTCCCTCTCTCTATGGCATCCTCCTCCGCTCTCTCCGCCGTTCCCCTGCCACTGCCAGAATTCAAATCATACCATCTGTTCATCCTCACCCAACACCACAACCATCACCTCAAAACCCTAACTTCCTTCTCCCTCAGCGATCATACGCATTTTTCTTAGCCGAAGAAGCCGATGTCAAACGCCCCCGTCGCAAGCGCCGCCTCTATATTGAACCACCAATCAACGCCCTCCGTCGTGATCCACTCCCGAGGGGGCCGCCTTTACCTGACGACCCTCGTTCCCACCTTCCCGACACCATGTCGGCACTGATCGGCCACCGGCTTAACCTTAACAATCACGTTCAATCTCTCATTCGCGCCGGGGATTTGGAATCTGCAGCTGTCATTGCTCGTCACGTCGTTTTCTCAAACACACGGCTGACTATATTCACGTGTAATGCTATCATCGGTGCTATGTATCGCGCTGACCAATACAGTGATGCTAAGGCTTTGTTTCAGATTTATCCTAGAACTATGCAAAGTGATTTCAGATTTTGCTCTGAAAATCGAATAATAAAAATAGTAACGCACTTAAATTAAGTTTGGAATAACAAGTTTATTGTATATAAATTGTATAGTAACAGTCTATTTTGTATAATTTTTGTATAGTGACAGTCTATTTTGTATATATTTTGAGTGGCAGTGGATTTTTTAAGTGTCACTATACTATACAAAATAGACTGTCACTATACAAAAATATACTAAATAGACTGCCAATATACAATTTACATACAATAGACTGTCACTATATAAAATATATACAAAATAGGCTGTCACTATACAAAAAATATACTAAATAGACTGTCACTATATAAAATATATACAAAATAGGCTGTCACTATACAAAAAATATACTAAATAGACTGTCACTATATAAAAAAATATACAAAATAGACTGTCACTATACAAAAAATATACAAAATAGATATTTCGGGCTTTTAGATGTAATATGTTTGGGCTGGAGGGCCATTTTGTGTCAATGAGGGAAAAACATGGGCTGTTAAAATTTTGAGGGGCTATAGAGGATAGTTTTCTCAAATTATTATCAGAAAATTTGGTGCTTCTTGTTGATTTCTTCAGAAAATATGGGACCAGTACCATAGGTTTTAGTTTTATTTGTTCATCAACAAAAAACGGTTTCTTTTTATTTATTATTTTTTGGAAAATGGTTTTTCAAAAGTGGAAACATGTTATGACTTATTCCACTTTTCATAGCGATTTGTACAATTCCCAAATTTACACCCATAAAAATCCAAGCCCAATAAAAACTGATTGATGGCCCAAGAGAATACAAGACTCGGTCAAATCCAACAGAAACACATCACATGGATTTGGAAGCCAAGGTCCAAGTCTAAGCTACCTAATAAACCATTACTGACTATCATCGATTGATCTTGATATTAACTTCTAAGTTGGGGGCAGTCACTTCATTCTTCAATTTGTTGCATCCACAAGTTTGGGAAATATTAAGAGGATAGTAGTATGCAAAAGTTGTTAAAGAAAGTTTGCAACATGGCAGTGCATGCCCAATTAAGGATAATTGCCTAAGGCCAAGAGCTTTGCTACACTGTCTTGCACATCTTGATTGCTTCAATATCATTCGTCTTTGTGGCCCAAGTCTTTCTGTATTATATATACTCGATCGGAAACTAAGTTATTTAGAGTGCGAGTTTAAGTTGTACACAGTACATCGCTTATACACCATCATGTCACCTTTTCAAGATTACAAATCTCACATTTAGGGAGACTTACTTATAAATATCTTTTGAGTGTCTGATAGTGTAAAAAATTCTTTACCCAACCAATATAAAACTTAATTAGAGTGCGTCTAGAAGATGTTAATAGGATTATTACCGAGAGTCCGGGGATTATTTAAAATCACTACCTCACCGTCACATTCTGGTTATCAGAATTCCACTATTGGCAATTTAAACCACATTCTAGTATTTTTTTTTTTGTTCCCTATATTTTGCATAGAACACACCGCAGTTATTCTTTCAAAATGCAGCTTTCTTAATGTTCAAAACTTAATTAACTTCTGCTTGAGCTGCAAGCACAATTCAGAACCATCGTACGCCATACTAAACTTAAAAGTGCGCCACATTGTGGAGTACAAATGAAGTCTTAATTGGAAATGCAATGTGCACATATGAACCCATTGAAGCCAATTACATAAACTCTTTGACAAGGCAAAATACCAGCCTTTTCCTTTTTACTTGCCTATCCCACAAGATATCGCCTTCAATCTTAACTTTTCTTTTTTGTCTATTATTTCACGTGTTTATATCACAATTCCTCAGTTAGGAGTCAACATTCAAAAACTTCGAAAACAAACCATCTGACATTAGTTATAACCCTTCAATCAAGGTATAATATGCTATGAAGCAAAGCATATATTCTTCTCTCATGTTTTTAGCATATGCATTGCATTGTTATGAACATAAATCTATATTTCAACTTGTAGAATCAAAGTTTTTGGAGTAAAGCCGACGAAAATGGAAATGGAATTGGGACTCAAACTAACAAGAGCTGCGGATGAATTTTCCTCTACTGAATTCCAATTTGCAAAAGATCGAGCAGGCTCTCTTTTCCAATCTACAGAAACGGACACTATGTTCATCCTTAGTGTCCATTTGAAAGGTCATTTCTCTTCACCTAATTCTTATCTCATTTTTTATTCATTTTTTTAGTTTCATGTTCATTATACTTATTACTATATATTGTGGAATTTGGAAAATATTTGTATAGGTTATACAAAAAAAAACATAAAGATTGATATAAATGAGGAAGGGACAATAATCGCGATAAGGGGTGAGAAGCTGGTTCAAGAGACTGTGATGGTAGGGTGGAAATTGGTCAAGAAAGATGTAGAAATTAGAAAATTTAGTAAGGCTTTCAAGATTCCAGATGGGGTGATCTTGGATAAAATCAAGGCTAGATATGATGAGGAAAAGTCTATATTGACAATTGAAATGCCAAAGAAAGTGAAAGGAATTCTTGGAATTGAGTTTGTAGAAGTGGAGGAGGATGAGCTTATTACTAGACAAGGCACCTCTGAAGATTTGTCAATAGTAGCTGATAAGATTCCTAAAAAGGTCACATTTAAAGATGATATGGATAAACCAACATCCTCAGCTGATTCAGAGTCTACTAAAAAAGAAGAAGAAAACCAAGAAAAGGAGAAGAAAGAAATTGAGGAAAAAATTGATTTGGCATCTAGTATCCGAAAACCACGTGAAGAAGTTGAAAAACATGTTGTCAAGGATGAAGTTACTAAAATGGAGAAGGAACTAATGCCAAAAATAGAGTCAAACATCAAGGGCAACGATACGATTCAAGAAATAAGAGAGCCTCAGAGCAATCAATTAGGTGGTGATAAAACTGAATCTACAAGTTCAAGGGATGAGCCTAAAGATGATCAAGATAGTGAAAGAGCAAATGGAATTTTAGAAAAGGAAGAAGATGGTGAAATATCAAGGAAAAGGGAAGGAGACAATGTGCCTAAGAAAAGCTCCAAAATTTGTGTGCCAATTGTTGCAGGCTCGGCCTTAATATTATCTCTTGTTGTGTTTGTAATTCATTTGATTAGAACTAAGAATCAATCTGGGAAAAGAAAAGGTTAGAGCAAACTATAATTCTTGAGTGTTGTTATTTCCTAAAGCATTTTTTTTCGTTTCCCTTTCTTTCATTTGATTGTAAAAAGAGGGTGTGATGATCAAGGCTCAATTTATTGTACCGTTATGCGTTTGTAATTGAGCCTAGAAAAGCCTATCATTATTATGGGCACTTATATTACTTTTTTCTAATTGGGAAAAGGTTTTCTCCATTAAGTTTCCATGGAGCAGTGGCAAGTAAAATATTAATGGCCAGCATCAAATTCTATGGTACTCTTCAAGTTATTTATTTATTTATTTCAATTCTAAATGTGAACAACTAATTTCTGACCATGCTTGTATTTTTCTCTAACTCACTCACATCACTTAACACACCTTACCACCAACACAATTATTCTCTCACAACTCACACTCACACTCTTTATCTTTAAAGACTCACACTCCACTCTTCCTCTTTAACAACTCACACAAGCACTTCTCTCACATGATCCCTCCACAAACACACATGTCACTCACAAAATAAATGAGCTTCATCTCCACCCTAAAGACCAACAAAACCCTCTATATAATTGCTGCAAAAATCAGCAATGAAGGGAGGAGAAACCAGCAAAAAACGAGCTGCAAATCCAGCTCCAAAACCTCACATTTTTGCACATAAAACCAGCCACCAAACAGTCCCGAATCAGCTCCAAATCGCAGCTGAAACCTCTGTCCGAAACTGCTCCAAAACGCAGTCGTAAAGCCATCCCGAAACCACCAAAAATCAGTAGTGAACCTCTGCTCTCTTCCGCCTAGTTACACCACCAAACTCCAACCGAAAAATCACCCTAAATCAGCCCTTGTTTTCTGTTCAAAAACACCGCCCAAAACACCCTCTAGCCACCTGCAAAAATCAGTCAAGACACCAGCGAAAATTGGCTATGAAATCACTAAAACCCAGCTCCAAAAATCCCCCCAAATGCAGCAATTAAAGCTGCTCCAAACCACTCAAACTCAGTAAAAAAAAAACAACCACTAAATCACCGATTTTGCGATCGAGGTGCCGAGTTTCAATTTTCCGTTCGAGGTTGTGTCGCCAGTCCGAGGTTCCAGTTAATACCTCGTTTGAGCGTTGCTATTTCCTTGGTGTTAGCTTTCTTTGTATACAGCAAAAAAGTTAAAATCCAATAATAGAAAATCTATTTTTATCTACATGTGCTTTTGGTTGGTTTCTTTTCTTAAATATTCTCCGTGATTCCTCCGTAGTTTTGTTTGCTTGTTTAATTAGTTTATTTTATTCGCTTTGATTTAGTGATTTACTAGATGAATATTGATTGTTTTGATTGCTTTTGTTGGTATTACTATAGAATCTTTAAAGGTTGAAAGATAAAGAACATTTGTTTAAATTATAATATGTGTTGTCAGCAATTTGTAACTAAAGTTGTGCTTGAATTACTTTTGACTATTAAGGGGCCGTCCAGTTGAGTTAGGTAAAAAGAAATTTGGCTTGTGGGGTTTTAATTTGAGATAATGGGCCTAATATATTATTTTTGTTTGATTCAATCCAATAAGAATTATAATATTGTCAATTTATTAAGAATGTATTGAACTCATACGCCTTTTCCACAATAATTCTTTATTCATAAATTCATGAGCCTCACAATAAATCTAAAACTTAGGAAAGAATGTATTGAACTCATACGCCTTTTCCACAATAATTCTTTATTCATAAATTCATGAGCCTCACAATAAATCTAAAACTTAGGAAAGAATGTATTGAACTCATACGCCTTTTCCACAATAATTCTTTATTCATAAATTCATGAGCCTCACAATAAATCTAAAACTTAGGAAAGAATGTATTGAACTCATACGCCTTTTCCACAATAATTCTTTATTCATAAATTCATGAGCCTCACAATAAAACAAAAAAAAATGAAGAAATTTTTTGAATATGTTAGAATGCTTTAAGCGCGCTCTAAATTAATTAAATTATCGTGATTATGTACACGTTCGCGTGACATAATTTTGATTTTCAAAATTAAAATCGAAGATGTGTTCGCGCAACTTTGGCCAAAACAATCTTAATATAATAAAATATTATTAATTGTGTACACGTACGCGTGACATAATTTTGGTACAATAAACAAAATGGATTCACACACGTGATTCGTTTCAAAGATAATTCTATATTTTAATAATTAAAAGCGGATAGATAAAATATGAAAAAATAAAATAAAGCAGAGTTTATCCAAAAAATTAATTCAAGCCAATTTTAGTCAATAAAAGCGATCGTGCTGGAACCACGGGACTCGGGGAATGCCTTACACCTTCTCCTCGGTCAACAGAATTTCTTACTCGTACTTTATTTTCGCAGACCAACATGAAAAAGTCAAAACATTCCTTTGACTAGGGATTCAAATAAAAGGTGACTTGGAACACCAAAAATCAATTTCAAGTGGCGATTCTGTAAATAAAATAATCCCTACTCAAATTTCTCACTTTAATTGGAAAGACTCTTTAACCCACACCAATAACACACATATTCTTTTGGGGTAGAAAAGGGGTGTGACAGTTCTGGGGACTCTGCTGGGGAACTTCAAGAATTCGAGCTTGTATATTGACTTTATTTGGCTTTATTAATTTTTGTATATATTGTGATTTATTTGGGCCTAATGCGTTACTTGTCCAGTTTTTATCGTTTTGATATTGTTGAACTGTACATATAAATTGTATCCTCTCTCGCATCCCTCTGAGTCTTCTGATAATTAGTTATGTTGTGTTTGCATAAGAGCATCACAAAATTTCTGTCATGAGATAAAGCCAGTTAGCCTACCAGCTTCTGGTGAAGGATTTAGTCACACATGTTTAGGCGGGAGGGCCGTTAGCTGGCCAGTGATATTCTACTACTGGTGACGCTTGACGCTCCTCAGCTCGGGTTGTCCGCCCGGGTAAGCCAGGTCTAGATACCATCTCCTTTAGAATTTACAAACTTAGAAGAACAAGCCACAAGCAATGAATATCCCTAGTAGGCTACGCTTTATTTGCATCATGTGTATTTGACTTAGCAGCGCTCGACACAGGGGCCGAGTTCTGTTTTAGGACAGGCCTTGTTGAGACCATTATGTTATGTGCTACTTGTTGCATTATTTGGAAGACTTGCATGTCGACCGACTTTAGCATAAATCAGTTGAACGAAGAGAGAAAAAATAATGTGGTCTAGTGCATATGGTTTTTAAAGATTAATTTTAAAAAAAAAATAAAAAAACAAAATAACATAGTCAGTTTGACCGAACTATGCGGGTCTGACTCTCACTAGATGTGAGTTACGTAGGCAAACCTCATCGGTTCCGGCCCCCAATTTTTAAAAATCCAAAAAGATATTTTCCTTTAATTGCTTCTTTAGAAGTTTCTTTTTTTTGAGACCAAAAATCTAAAAATATTTTCTTCCTTCTTAAAAAAAATGTCTTTCTCCCAAAATCCAAAAAAATATTTTCTTTCTTTTGAAATTTAAAAAAAAAATCAAAATTCAAAAATATTTTTTTTCTTCTTTAGAAGTTTTTCTTTCACCAATTCCAAAACAAAACAAAAAAAAATCGAAAAAAAAATTGAAAATATTTTCTTTGCTAGGAGATTTTGTCGGATTAATTGTATATGAAAAATAAAAAGAGTTAGTTTATCTATTTTATTTCTGATCCACCGAACTACGCGGGTCTGATTCTCACCGGATGTGAGATACGTAGGCAAACCTCATCGGTTCCGGCCCCCAATTTTCAAAAATCCAAAAAAAATATTTTTCTTTAATTCCTTCTTTAGAAATCTTTCTTTGAGACGTCAAATCCAAAATTCCAAAAATATTTGTTTTTATTTTTTTTAAAAAGGTCTTTCTCCCAAAATTCAAAAAAAAAAAAAAAAAAAAAAAAAAAAATCAAAATCCAAAAAAATATTTTTTTTGTCTTTTTAAATTTACAAAAAAAAATTCAAAATATTTTTTTTTTTTTTAAAAGTATTTATTTCGAAGATTTCAAAAAAAAAAAGCAAAAAAAAAAGACAAAAATTCAAAAAAAAAATAAAATATTTTTCCTTGTTAGCAGCTTTTATGGGATTATTTATATATAAGTAAAAAAAAAAGAGTTAGTTTATTTTACTTTATTCCCGATTTACCCTAAACTGCGTAATGATATGATTCATGCGGTGTCATGATACGTAGGCAATCCCCATCGGATTCGATCATAGCCATAAATAAATTGAGTGAAAAAATAAATCGAAAAAAAAAATTGAGTGAAAAAGAAAAGAGTGACAAAAAATAACAGAGAAAAACAAAGAGCGCAAAACAACAAAAAGAGGAAAAAAAATCAAAAAAAAAAATTCAAAAAAAAGAAAAAAAGAAAAAGAAAAAGAAAAAAAAGAGCCCCTGAGATGGAATCATTTCACCCATGTTGGTGAATCATACTCAAGCTTGTTCTAAAGCTAGTGAGGCTAGGTCTACTGCAGCCAATAGCCCTAAACCGGCCAAACTCTGAGTCCCCCTCGCACCGGCTAATGCTAGATGTGAATACCACTCTGGAGTAGTGGGACATGATACGGAAGACTATTGGACTCTTAAGAGAGCAGTGGAAGACCTCATCGAGGTCAAAGCAATAATGCTTAGGGACGAAGAGGCCTCTAATATGATGAACAATCCTCTACCTACTCACACCAATGGGCCAGTAGTCGGAATGATCTGTGAAGATGATGAATTTGATCCGACACTGAAGGCCATTGCAACCATTGCCGAGATAGAAGAAAAGCCAAAAAGAAACGGTCGCCAAGCCTGAAAGTTCCCCATCAGACGAGAGTCTCGGTAGCCAGTCTTGCTATCCTTTATGTGTTCGGATTTATCTCAGAGTGTGATCCGGATATTTTATTTTATTGTCTTACTTTCTGATGTAAACCCTCCTATCTTTAATTTTTTTTTAAAAAAAAAACAAAAAAATCAAATCAAATGAAATTAATATTTTATTGAATGTTTCTTTTCTTAATCTTGTCACCTTTCTTATTCTCTTTTCAGTTCTGTCAATGCAGATTTTAATGACATGACATGCTTGCGGACTTCATGCCTAGATCCTAAAATGCTCTCAGACCTCAAAATAATGAATCAAG